GTCGGCGGCCCCACCGCCGGCCTCCCCCATCGCGGATGCGGAGCGCACGTGGCCCAGGCCACGGGAGACACTCACCTTCCTGGAGGCCTGGAACCAGCTTGTAAACAATGTCCTGCATGGTCCTGTCATGGCTGCGGGGAGGACAGGGGTCAGGAGAGGCCGCTGGGCCAAGCGCCCCCACTGGACAGAGCTCTCTGCCCTCGGGGGGGCCGAGGCTGGCCCGTGCCTGTGGCGCGAGGGCTGCTGCCCGGGAGCCCTGCTGCGCCCTCTTCTCCGGTGGGGCAGGGCGAGGCGCTGTGGCCAGGCCCCTCCCTGGGGCTGGGGACGGGGCCAAGGCCCCCGGCAGGCCCCCAGCCTGGGCTCAGAGGCCGCCCGCGCGGGTGTCGCTGTCCAGACGACGCGCGACAAGTGTTTGAGACGCTTTACTTTCGGGGTTAGTCACCGCTGGGGTTGGGTCCCTCACGGCCACCCGCTGAGACGCCGGGGCCGCAAGGGCTGGGCCACAGCCGGGGGGGCGGGCTCACCCGATGTACTGCAGGGGGTGGCTCTGGTGGATGACAATCCTGCAGGTGGGGCAGGTGTTGTTCTCCTCCAGGTACTTGACCAGGCAGCTGCGGCAGACTGCGGGAGAGGCAGACACGGGCTGGGCGGGGCCCGCTGCCCAGAAGAGCAAGGCTTGCTCGGCCCCCCAGAGCCAGAGGGACAGCGACCCGAAAGACGGCCCGGGCCGTGCCGAGGCCGGACACGCCGCTGCCCTCAGCGAGGCCGACCCAACTGGCCAGAGCTTTGTTCTCTAAACTGGAAGCCACGAGGGCCTCCCGGGCCGAGTCTCCGCGCTACCAGTCCATCCCCGCAGGGAGACACGGGGCAGTGTGCCCCGCTGCCCCCTCAGCAGTGGGCTCAGCCGACTGCCCGCTCTGGCTCTGGGGGTCCTCTCGCCCCCACCTCTGGCCTGCACCCCGCATCTTGTAGGCATACACAAAATCTTTATAGGGAAAAACCAAGAGACGCGAGTCGGAAGCACGTGCACAGCAGACACACCAAGGGCCCGGCCCGGCCCCAGCGACCGGGCAGTCGCTGACCCGAACCCGGTCACGGGGGCGGCACCCCCGCCGAGAGCAGCAGGCTGTGGCTGCGGGGCTCCCGCCAGGGCTCCCCACCCCAGCTCCCTCCCATGCTCCCTCATCTCTGCTGAAACCACCCTGCTCCTTTTCCTTGACCGGCTTTCGGCTGTTCTTGGCATCTCTGGCCAGTTCCTACATCTGCTTCCTGCTCAAGTGTTTTTGGGGGAAAAACTCCAGGATGCAGGAGCGCACCGCCAGAAGCGGTCACGGACACGTTCCGGAGCACGCCGGGCGGGTGTCCAGGCGCGCCCCCGCCCGACGCGCCCCGCCCCCGCCCGGCCCCGCCCTCGCACGCACAGGTGTGCAGACACTCGGTCACCGTGGTCGCGTCGATGAGGTAGCCGCTGCACAGGCGGCAGGTGATGTGGGCGTTTATGTCCCAGAGTTTAATCTTCCTGGTCAACATCTTTGGCTTCTGCAAGAGGGGAAGCTGGGGATGAAGGCCCACCGCGCCCCGAGCGACCCGCAGCGCCCGCGCTCCCCTGCGCCGCACAGCACGGGCAGCTGGCACGGTCAGGGGCGTGGGGCGGGGCTCTGCCGGGGCTGCCCAGGCCCG